GAAAGGATAATTATGACATTTTCTAACTGCTTCTTCCAGTTGAGGGTTGTGGGGGAGCCAGGCAACCAACGGTCAGAAATCAGGGTACACCCATGGAAGAGACACCAATCCATCACTGGGTAGACACTCGGACACAAACACAGACACACAGACTCTTACTGGGTTAATTCACCCAGAAGCCAATTAACTGGATATCTACCAGTGAGCCCTCTGTGCTGATCTAAGGCTAAGAATACCTGTAAAACATTCATTACTGCAGAGTCTCAAAGCTATTAAGTGGCTGGTTTGATTACTATTAATATAATTACAGTATGCCTAAATCAGAAGAAAGTCATCACAATGTCTAAGCAATATTTTTTTTTTTATAAGGCACTGGCCTCGGAAAAAAATAATTATTGAGCATTGCTCTAGAAATTGCTCTGATGGTTTCCAATTAAGTGTCTATCCTAAGAAAGAAATTATACAATTCTGAGGTGAATTCATTTTCCGCAGGTAATTTTCTTTTTTTTTCTATTTTTCTCCCCTCCACCACCATCTTTATTATTTAATCCATTTTTTCATTCCTTCTATTTCCTTTACCCATCTGTCTTTGCCTTCCTTTCCTTACTAGTTTGTTCTCTTGTCTTCCACCCACCTTTATCTCACTCGACTCTCAACATTTACAACTTTTTTTTCTGTCTTTGGGGCCGTCGAGATGTGTCTCTAGAGGGCCCCGTACCTATTTAAATTGGTTTAGTTTACATTCCAGGCTATAAATAATCTGAATATGTACAACACCTTTTTTTAACCAATTCCATGTGAATGGACCTGTATCCTCCAACCATTTCTACATGATAGCACTTTCAGCAACAATGCAAAGAGTCAAAAGTATACTTAGACAGATCCTCGAGGACACAAGTAATAGCCGTTAATGGGATTGATACAGTATATCCAGTTGTCTGAGTATTTTCTGTATTGCAGCTGTCCACAAAGACTGCATATAATTTCCTTTCACATCTTTCACCCACACTGTAATACCCTCGCCTGTTCTTTTGTAGCCGAGACAGGCTCCCCTTGAGAACCGGACTTTCTTGTGAATTGTATTGTCAGGTGAAATAACTGGCAGGTGTGGAGATCTGACCACTACGGTTGCCCAGCTCCCCTAGTTTTTTTTTTCTGCGCCAGAGGGATTTCAATCTCCTTTAGACATGAGTTCCATAGCCAACGGAACCATTGGTTTACACCAGCACGCCTGGAAAACAGGTCAAACGAGGTGAGGGAGAGGTTTGTTTTGATGATTCAAGTGAGTGGGAATAAAAGCAGTTTCTTTTCCATGCATCAATTTGACAGGATAGTCAGAGCCGGCTGTTAATGTCAGGAGATGATATCCTCCCTCTTTCTCTCATTCCACAGAAGCCTTTCTCATGTCCTTTGTGGCTTCTGTCATCTTTGTCAGTAAATGTAATGCTGCTAATAACACGGAGCATCAAAAGAATCATCACTTATAACTGTAACATATTCACAAAGTTAGCAGCAAAACATTTCGTTTCTATTAGGTGCACTGATGTTTATGTTAAACAGGAATCTTCTAATTCTTTTCTAACCGGTTCTTCCAATTACAGGTAACGGGAGGAGTAGGAGCCTATCCTGGCAAACCACAGGCTCAAGACAGGGTACTGCCTGAACGGAAGTACAATAATTAAATAACAATTTCAATAATTATTTTCTCCATAACCGTCTCTGTGACACCCTTGTAAAAACTCATTTTCACATTGACACTGCAACTTCTCCCTGTGTCGAAGTTATTGTTGGTAAGAAATCATATAGAGTGAAAAGCTAAATTATTGGGGCAGTTTAGGGAAATTTGTTATTTTTGTCTGCATTCTTATGAAATTTGTATTTCAGACCGTAATATTAAGGAGGTAAAGAATTTCAGCTTCGTTGCTGGGTACTATTTTGCATACATGCTGCTCTGTAGTGCACAGTGAATTAGTGACTAGTGCCAAGAAAAAGCATCACCTCTTCTTCATCTGTTAGCCCGTTCTGCCTGGATTCGTCAAAACCACATTCATCAATTGCCGAGATTACTTGTCTGTATGACTAAGTTGTTAAGTCAGTCTAACTAGTCCATTTATTAAATTTAATTACCAGGAATAATAATAAAAAACTACACTCTTGTCATTGATCAGAACAACAAAATCATCATCTTTATGGCAGCAACATAGTTATAGGGCTAAAATATCCAGACCTGAAGAATAAATTCTGGTGTTTTGCATAATTTCCATTCAATATTTGCAAAGGAGTGTATTGATCGCTTGACAGCTGTCTGGGGTGTTTGATATACACATAGTGTAAGTTAATGGGCAATTTAGCCACTTCTAATATAAGGGCAAGATCAATCAAGGGCAGATCAATATAGCTTAATGAAGACAGGAGGGGCCTCAATCATATTGAATGTGGAACAATGTGTTTAGCTGTTCATCCTAATAAAGTGTTTTACCTCATTGCACCTGTACTGAACTGTGCTTTAGAAACTACCAGTTCATCTAGAGACAGCACTTTAATATAAAAAAAATCTTTAGTGGTTTTTAAAGTACTTATAATAATAGTTCAAAAGATGTAATAAATAATTTTCAAAATGATTGAGAATATTAAAATGTTATTATAGTTAGTTATAACTTCCTGATTACTTTTCAAAACCAAGTGCATAATTCTTATAAAAGGTGGCAAACCGTATTATTATAATTCTAGCATTGCAGTAACATATCTGTAATGCTTCAAAAAAGGATTTACCATCTATTAAAGGATTAGCCATCTATTAAATTGAAACGAAGTCCTAATAAATGATCTAGCAATAGCACCTTCACTGAAAGTGGGAACAGCAGATCAAAACGGAGCAGTAGGCTGAGGGAGTTCGCATCCAGTCTTCACAGCCCCTCCGATTCTCTTCCTCAGAAGAACAGAGGATGACATTTTGGGACGAAGATCTATCCTGGATTCAGTTTTGAACCTCATGTGGAGAAAGCTGTAAATGCTATCAAAACAAATAACATTTTCAGGCTGCATGCAGTATCTACAGTATGTACAGTAGGTGATTATGTCATGTTAATTGCATTTTTTATTTCATTCCTATCTTAGAAATAAACATGGGTGTACCATAATTTAATGTAATGCAATATACCTGTAATGTATAATTTGTATAATTTAAATTATAGAGACAAAAATAGTTGCTTTATGGCTCAGTGCACATGTAATGCAATATGAGGAGTTAAACACTGAGACTGACCCAGAGGCCCTGTTGGGTTCACACAGCAGGATGTCTGTTGAATGAGAGAAGGTAAAGCAGATTTTTCAGATCTGTACTTCTGGAAACTGGCAGGAACCCAAAGGTTACTAAGTAATGACCTGTGAAGATGAGGCAATCTTACTTCTTCAGCTTGTATTGACATTGGCGCAGCTATACTAAGGAGCAAATGAGATCAATCACTTCTTTATTAATGGTACATATCATTAATGATCCTGAAAACGCAGTGTACCACAAGGTCTCATCTAGACTTTATTAAAATCATTGTCAGATGTCAGTCACTTGGATATGGACTGATGTACATGACCTTATCACTAACGGGCAAGCGTTTCTCCTGTTAGGTTTTATTCAAGCATACGGAAGTAAAAATGAGCAAATAGTGCATGACCAAAATAATGTAAAACACAGAACTACAATTAAGAACCCATTCATCCATTTTATGACTGCTTTCTCCAATTCCGAATCTCAGGGATGCTGGACCCTCTATCCTGGCAAGCAATGGGCACAAGGCAGCATTCTGGACGGGACGCTAGTACATCACAGGGCACTCAATCACACACTTGATCACACCTAAGGCTCATTTTCCCTAAAGCTAATTAACCTACCAGTATGTCTCTGTGAGAGGGCTGTGAGAGGAAACCCACAAAACCATCGGGAGAACATACAAAGTCCATGCAGATAGCACCCCAGGTCCAGAATTTAACTCAATTCCATCCTGTTTGCGAGGCAGTCAAGCTAATCACTATACTATACCACTGTGCCTCCCTTACAATTAAAAATGACTTTGGGAAATCTAAATCATAACAAAAGAAATGCATACTAATAGTTTGCAATGCCATGACGCAGTTTACCATGGTGAAATTTCACCAGAAACTACTCTAAAGGTCAATGCTGTTACAGATGCTTCAGTAAGAAAGACACCCATTTATGGAGCTCATATCTGCTGTTTATCATCCTTGCATGCTGCAAATGTCTGGAAATAGAGAAGCCATAAAATGCAGCACATAACTTTAATAGCTTCTTATAAACATTGGTCCATTCATTTCATTAATAGAAAATTTAAGATGTGTAAAACATTCAGCAATGACCTGTTTCCTAAGAGATCATCTTAAAAGTACAGTACCAGTGGCTCTTTCCTGTATAATACAGTCTCAACATTAGCATTTGAAATCAATAAGTGTAAGCTTGTTTGCTTGTGTAACACACATATTGCTCCTGAAATATTGAGACAAGCCCAATGCCAAAGATATTCAAACAATCCAATTAAACACAGGTAACATCAATCCCCATTGAAAAATCAATTATTTGTACCATTTAAAGATGACACAAGATGGATATGTTGTGAACAGTTCTCTTTATCTTTGTTAGTATTGAAATCTAGCCACTTAAGGCTCAACAGAGCTGATTTTTAGTCTTTTTAAACCTTTAAATGTTAAATTGGTAAAATCAGGTCTTATTTGTATCAAATGCACCTTTTTGCAAATCATCAGTTCTTATTCTGCAAGAGTCGCAAAGAGTATGGAGCTCATATGCATAATCCACAACCAGTTAATTTAGTTTAAGACCAAAAATGACAAAACAGTACTGTAGGTCTAGATCAGATCATCATTACCAAAACCTATATACTCACGGCCATTTAAGCTTGCTTCTTTTGAACTTTACTTGTATCAGGTGATCACATATGAAAGAAATAAGGGAATATTAAAGCAGAGAAAACTTAATTTGTCATTGTTCTTTATTTAAAAATCAAACTAAAAACACGAGTAACAGTAATTGAAGTACAACTTGTCAGTTGTCAGGCTTCATCCTCCTCCATACAACTGTCTTTATGCAAAAAATAAAACACTGAGAGAAAAAGCCACCTACCCCAGAAGCACCAGTTGGTAATTGACAAAGCACCATTGAAGCGTACAGTAGCTCTGCAGTGTTTACAGAGGTAACTGTATCAATCAGATGGCTGTCTGATATGTATCACCCAGAGCGGTGACTCTCTATCTTTGTACTGCAGTATCGATGGTTCTTGTGATTTTTAATCCAGCCAAACACTTAATTATTGAGTGCAATTGATCACTTTAATTCAGCTAGATACTCAGTCAAATTTCTACATCCAATCCCGAGTTTTCAATCTAAGCCTACCCCCTTCCTCTTTCTCTGAAGGGCTCTATGTATGTAACCCACAAAGGAGAAAGAACTGTTCTGCTGATCACAACTGAAACACTGATACTTTACTTTCATTATTTTCTACTGATTATCTTTTGAAGTAGACTGTGGTGTTAAACAAGAATAGTTTTTTTGGAAAACAAAAGGTGAGAGGTGAGTACTGATAGTACTACATCCTCTTTGCATTGAAAGATGAATTAGGATTTTTTCAGGTAATAAAGAGGGGAAATACTGCAGTGCTTTTCTTCATCACCAGATACCAATGATTCAGACACGGTTGTAGTTTAAAATGGCTCATTCGCAGCTGTAATGGCTGCCACAGAGCACACAAATCAGTTTCAAATGTTGGCAACTTTTGAGCACAGATTGATGAAACATGAGGGCGACTAGCACATAACTATAGCTCTATCATTAGGTGTACAATGAGCTAGAAATATAATAAAGGAATTAGAGGGATAAGTCCTAGATGGGGGAAAATTGGTTCTAATAGTGGCCTGTTAACATTCATTCAGCAGTTTCCTGTACAATTGTTACAGCAGCCATTCCCATGAGCCCAGAAGAGCTTTTCACATCACTGAAATCTGCTCAACATCACAGTACAATCACTGTGAAAAGAGGGCATGAATGAAAGGGTCATCCGCTGGCTAGGAATTCAAAAGTGGTCTCAAACCTGCAAAGCCGCAGACGTTTTTTCCCCCCTTTTGTTAACAGAAACTTGACGAGTTTTTGGAATGATGCATTTAAGCATCACTCACAAGGGAAATTCAATTTTCCCTGTGTGCATTGCATCAATCTATAATGGTGAAGCACTGGAGACAGGCAATACAAATGCTGAATGCTATAATGAGATAGCAAATAATCAGTGAGAACACATTTGACGAGTGTCATGGCAGAATGATTGTACATATATATTGGAAGTTTTGTGAGCTGATATATGAACGTACAGGCTGACGATTTTATTGTCCCTCGCCTTGTGAAGCCACACTGTCTACTGAAGCACCTAACGAAAGTGTGCAGAACGAACTCTGGGCAAACGTTTCTTGAAGGCAGACACTAGCCTTTTGATTTTATTCAGGGGTCTGTGCTCATGGCAGTGCTATCTGACAAATGGATTGCTCGCAAAAGTAGACGATATCAGACCCCCCCCAAATGGAGTTGCCATTACTGAATGTGGCCCAGTATCACTTCGGCAAATTCTTTTTGTGCAAAGAAAAAGAAAGACTTCCCCAATGGGAAGTATTGTATTCAGAAAGTTGAATATTTCTGCTACTATGGTTTATACCCATTTGCGAGCTTTGGCATGACAGGATTCTCTGCTACAACTTTTTCGTTTCATTGGCCTCTCCTTTTAACTGGACACATACTGTATCATTAGATGGAAGGTTGATATATTTATTTTTCTTCTGCTCAGGGATAGATTCACTTTCTGCCAAAAAAAAAAGCTACTTGATTTGTCACATAAATTCTTATTCCTTCAATCTGAATAGAGAAATAGATCTAGAATCCCACTTTTCTGTCAGACGTTTTCACTGGTATGTGAAGTGATACCGATGCAATAAAAATGTCAGATAGTGGTGAAAATGTACATACAATACCATTGTTACTACCAGGAGACTACTGAAAGTCTGACTATTTCTGGATATGTAGTACTCAAAGAGTTTAAATGAAAATTATTTTATCTAATATCTGATATCTTTGTTCAAGATGTATACCTAATCAACAATGATGTCAAAAAGGACTGTTTAACATACCTCTAACATTACGTAATTGCCAAAATCCACATTTACTTTCTGCTATTCGTTTGATCTGATAGTGATCTGCACCTTGTTGTTTAATAGGGATATTAAAATTGATTAGAACTTCTAACCTGCACTTAATGCGACTTAATAAACATTTGTTTTGTGCAATTTAGCCTAGATTATTTTGTCCGCAGCAGGCTGCTCTTGCTGAGCATTGGAAACAGGAGATTTTCACAGAATTGCAAGTAGTATCAGTCACATGGACCGTATAAAAGCTTGCTTTCTTTTCAGATATAAAAACAGTTTTGTATAAGAAAATCTAAAAGTACACACAAATGTCTTATTTAATTTATATGGATCGCTCGCTACATAAATGCGTTTTCATTCAATATATTTACTAGCAATTATGATGACCTCATCAGAAAATTAAGCAAATAATGAAGGTTTGAATCTTAATCATGTTAGGATCTTCAAATGTCAAACTCTGCCATCCTTTGCAGTCCTAAAAATAAAGTACTGATCCCAGTCCTACAGAGTTCTCACCCTGTCTGCATGTATTATATATTTAGCAGTCTTGTAAGAAAAGTTCAACTGCAAATGTATAAAGGCGAGATCTAAATTTTGTGCAGTGCATTTTGTCATTGCAGACAAAAGGATGTATAGGGAGGATAGGAAAACGTTAGCTCACACTATAGTATGTGATGAGGAGACCAGGTCTTCTGTGGTTAAGGTAAAGGGTTTTTGCCAGGAGGTTCTTAGTATATAGTATACTGCACATCACCCCCAAACAAGTTACTTAACCTCTGTGTGAGCAGTCCTTCAGATAAGATGTCAAACCTAGGTCCTGCTGCCAGTAACTCTGACACAGTAGCTGATGTGTAGCTCAGCTCTAGTCCCTGAAAGTCATTTTATAGACAAGCATTAAGAAACTGTTGATTAAACTGTCTGTTCAATAGATAGATTAAAGGCTCCCAAGCTTCTTGTATCTGCCAGATATCACGTAGTATCCATTCATCAGTATCTACTATATGTTCAGCACAATTTGTTAAGTATCTTCTGGCACAGCAGACCTCATTGTCCTTTTGTTGCTGTAATTCAAATGTCCTCTGCCCAAGAGCAAACGCATTTACAATAGAAGAGTGTTATTGCCCTGTTTGGACTGGCTGGCTGCCATTTAACACTGTTTGACCTCTTCAAATGCCCTGTTGCCAGACAGCACAGCCAAACTCATACTAATCTGAGAAAACTGGTGGTGGACTGTTTCCTTTCAATTGCTCTACAAATGTACTTACTGCAAACCAACATCTTCTAAAAGAGACTTCCCCAGAAGCCCAAGGGGAATAACCTGCCATCTGCTAAGCAGGAGGAAAGTGACTGGTAAAGCACATGGTGAAAGCTTCCTGTGGTCTCTGACCAAGAGAGCAGATTCCATGAAACTTTGCATCAGGCTGAGTGAGGAAACCAAGGGCAGATGGAAACAGCTACAAGGATAAGGGTGCACAACCTCCAGGATAGATCCTCTGAGAGGCAAGAAGGAAGCCGAGCCAAAGGAAGATGGCAGGTCAGCAGAATGTGGCTTCAGAAAAGAGAAGGGTAGAATCTGACACTAGTAACAGGGTTAGCTGCCGACTCCTTGTTTTAACTCCGTATGTTCAGGTAATATGTAGTGCCGTAACAAGATCTTTACAGTAGGTGAAGTTGGTGTGTACGGGCTTACAGACACACTTGGAGATGGTCAGTATGGTGGGGAAAAAGGAGCTTTTTATTTTCCAATGGAGGCAAACAAAGCCAAACCTTTTTTCCACTCGAAGCCACATTTGGCCGATGTCCAGCTTGTTTTTACCTTCAGGGTTGCACTGTCGCTGAAGTTCTGCTCCCTTCTCCAAGCAGCTAATTCAGCCAAGAGCTTTGCTCCCTCACACTGACGCAGCACTTTTTTGGGGAGTTTTTCAATATATTTTTGTCTTGGTCAATTACTACAAGGAAAGACCACGTAGGACGCATCTGCTTCAGACGGCTAACTGATCTTCTTCCAACTACTCTAGTGCCAGGTCATTCATTTCCCAAGGATTTCTGGGAAACATATCCGAGGCAAGGACCTCCCATCTCACTCTCTCCTGTCCCCCTGCCACACCTCCCGAAACAGATTTCAGCACTGATATTACTAGAATAAGCAAATTCTGAATTGTATACTGTGCACCCTAAATATCATTTTGGTCATGTGTACCTTTTGATTTGGACCTTAATGGCCAATAAATTCTTGCCCTTGAGCTTAGGAAATATAGCAAAACAGCAAACAGCCAGCTTGTGAGAGACTTTCTCATTGTAAGATTCATCTTGCATCACAGGAGGAGGCTGTCCACTGTCTGAATAGTCTGAAGGGTAATCACTTGCTGTGTGATGTATGGACAGCTCTGTTATGGGGGTTACAATCCCGGCCAAGAATACTGCACAAAAAGCAAGGAGTGAGCAGGAATCCATCTGTCTCTGGTGGAAGAGTGGAAAAGTCAGACCTAAGTTTGACTTCTGCAGCATTCAGTACTGTTTTCAGTATCATGATGCCTGAAGAGAGCTGCACAGCGATTTTCTTATGGAGAACTGAAGGCTGAATCACACTTAAAGTCTGCAGAGAGGCAATCATTCACCTTCAGAAGGCAAGGGATCAACTAGCGTCCCTGAAATGTCTTTTTATTTGTTTTTAAGCCAATGTAAAAAAAAAAACAGCAACAACATCAAGAAACAAAAAAACAAGTTGTGAAATTCATCCCCAAGGTATCGGGGATGGTTGTCAGTCAGTTTAAAAGAACATTTGCCATGCTCACGTCATCCCAGGCTCCTGTTCTTTAGATGGTGGTGAGGAAAAAAAAAAAGGCTGAAATCTGAACTCTGAGGCTGAAAAGTCTTGTGATGCCATGTTGTGCAGGCAGCATGATAAATCCTGAGAGGTTTGTCTGCTAGGGTCCTGTCCTACATATTTACTTTGCTGGTGGATTGTGTATCTTGCCTGCTATTGGCTAATTTTGGGGGCCTGCTGTGTTAGGCCTGGGGAACAACCACGTAGGGCTGATGGGGCACCAGTTTCTGACGCTCGTTGCAGATGTAGATCCAGCGTGGTTTCACAAAGGACAGGTTGCCGTTTTCCATCAGGGCCTGTAAGACAAACAGTGAAAGACTCATCAAAGGTATCTGCTCACACAAAGTGTACCTTTTATATCTGACACTTCTATTTTAAATATCTGGGTTTAATTATAACTGACTAATTTTCTTTGTCATTTATAGTGAGCCCTTGAAAATTTGAATGCTAGATCATTACGGTGTGGCAACACAAGCTGAATTTATTGATTTCTACTTTAAGTATGGTAGTGTAGTTGCTAGTCATACAAATGGGACTTACAATGCAAATATTTTCTGTTCCGTTACACGTAAGGTGTTAAGAGTAAAATGTAACTCTTGTTCATATGTCAATGTAATTTAATTTGTGTTTTTCTTTACCAACCTTTTTGTTTCAAAAATATATATGTCAGGCATAAACGGGACCCCCTGTATTTCTACTTTTCCAAATGAACAAATTCTGCTTGAAGGATAGGCTTCCAGTGAAACCTTCTGTCCAAAATATCCACTCCTGAAAGAACTCCGGCAATATTAACCACTCTGTGAAAGAGCTCATGAATGAGAATGCACAAGAGGCACAGACACCAGTTTGACCAGTATTGTGTGCGTAGATAGGGCTCTAGAAAGTCAAGCGTTTTCTTAGAACATCTGTCAGGGCGAAAAAGAAAACATGCTTGAGAGTTCACTCTGACCTCTGAAGATAAAGGTCAGGGTGATTCTTGCTCTGTTGCAAAACATACTGTGACACAGCGTCTGAAAACGTGCTGTGATTTCACTTGAGGTCACCAGAAAACCTCAAAGCTCTACATAATTTTAAAGAGAATCTCCAGGAATCCCCATGTGAGGAATTAGAAAAAAGAGATGGGAGTTCCATTAAAACACGTGTCCTGGATCTAGTACATTAGTATAGAAGAGTAGCTTTTTAGTGTAGGAGAGTTAATTCAGAATCAGAAAAAATGTTTTTTTTTCAAGCAAGAGAACTGACAGTAGTTTAAAAATAGAACCACTGTGAAAAACGCAGTAAATATTGGTAGGTTAAAGGTGGGCCCTGTAAATTCTATTGCTTCTTTTCCTCTGAGACGTAGAGGTACCTTCAAAAGCAGCACCATGATAACTAAACCTTTCCTGCAAGAGATGATACAAGACAGCCTTCTGACAATTTCAGGGCAGAAGTCTTCATTCTCTGAAAGGAAACTGGCCCTATCAATCACCTTTGCGGGGAAAAAAAAATCTATTCCACAAAACATAAAGGGTAATTTTAACGTAAAGACAATTTTGCCTAGCTACCTGTGTGCCAGCCAAGTGGCAATTTTCATCCTGGTGTGCAACTGCAAATGCACAGCATATAATGCCTAAAAACCCATTACTGAAGATCACCAGCTACTGACTGCAGCCAAACGTCTTACAACGAGAACAAATTTCATCCTAAATTAAGAAACTTTATATATTTTTTTAAGTTAAGTTAACCAAAAAAGTGTAATTTAGGAGTAAATCGAGAACTACCTGTATGCTTGATAGAAAGTATTTTAATTAACCAAGGTGAGAAATTTGAAACTATCTAGATATTAAGAGAGTCTACTGTAGTTCCATTTGTAAATCCTGTTCCAGGCTCAGGATGTGTTATCCCGAGTAAGATTTTTGTTTTGAGGATGGACTCTGTCATCTTCTTTTCTCTCTATCCAAACAGACGGGTCAAGGAGATTTTTTGGCTAAAATATGAATATGGAGAAAAGCTGTTTCTCATTTCCATCTGATACATATAGTCACCCCTCTTTGCATTATAATATTCATGTGTTTCCATCCTAATCACGAAGGACTGTCATTTCTGGAAAGTCACACTGCTATTAAGAAGGATGACAGCTAAAATTAACGCTGACACTTTTGTCAGTGAAAGCTGTTTCCAGGGTGCTTTTTTTGTAGAGATGTGCCTTCTACGGGTTTTAAAATCTTATCTATACCCTCTGGCTTGTCTTCTGAATGCCGCTGAACTTTTCCATCATTCTGTGAACAACCTTATCGCAGACGAATCTTAATGCTGGAAAAGGCTCTGATCTGGGGTATAATCCTTTATAGGGCTTAGACACAGCGGATATTGAGTGACCCCGGCCTTGACATCAGTTAAGTACAATAGTAGATCTGCAAAGTGAAAGAGATAGGGATTCACAGGGAGGGAAGATTAACACCTCACCTCTGCTTCATACAAGTGACTGAAACAAAATCAGAATCTTTGCTGGTAATCCCAGTCCAGTGTCTCTGAGTGATCTGTGTGACACATCTAACCACACAGTGATTCACCTTGAAGATTGGTTTACTGCACCAGGAATGTACATTATTATCAATAAACCCCTTGCATTTATATACCGTTTTTCATCCTGAAGGATCCCAAAGCTCTTTAGATATGAGAGACCAACTTAATTCACCACTGAAGCATTCATCTGAGTGTCACACAACAGCTCCACTACCCAGCAGACCAGGAGGAGAAGTGAGAAACAGTTTGTCAATCCAACCAAGAGTGAACCTGATTGAAAGTTACAGTGTGGAATTTACCCAGGACACTCATATTCACAGCCTTACTCTTATGAACTGTGCCTTGGAATCTTTAATTACCTAAAGCAGCCAGGATCTTATTTTAACATCCCAAAGACTTTACTTCCTGCTGATGAAGTGTCCATATTCACCTTTACCTGACCACTGGTTCAGAAATTTTCATTCAGTGACCCACAGGCCCACCAATAATACTTATAGCCTTACAGCAGCAATCTGGTTTTCCTTGAGGTCTCCAGTAGCATCCATGCAACCTGATTTTGCTTGACACCCAACAAGAAGGTGGCAACAGTCAAATATATTGCCATCAAATATATTGTCCCTGAACTTCAAAGTAAAGAATTCATAATACTGAAAGTTAAGAACTTAGGAAACAACCTACAAATGAGAGAATCTGATCCACCTTTCACAATTGCTTCTATAAATAATCCAAGTTGCTTCTTAAAAACTGAATTTGAGTTTTGTCTTCGTGTGTGTGTCCTGAAATCACAAGGTCATTTGTGAATTTACAGGGATGAACGGCTAACTACTAAACTGGGCAACAGAGGGAAGAGTATAAGTGACAGCTCTGAAATCTAAGGGAAGCTTTCACTCTCGACTGCTGGTGACAGAATAAACATTTCAAAGGTGCACTAGCCGAGCACTGAGAAACTGCAGCTGCTTCTCAGCAAGTAGCATCTTAACATAGGCAGCGTTGTGGTGAAGAATTTAAGACAGCAACTTTAATCACGTAGTCATTTATACATATAAGACTACTTAGAAAGGCCGCTCTGCCCCACAGTCTAAAGCTAAACAAAATTTTTCAAGGAAAAATAAGAAGGCAGTAACATGGATTGTGTGTGGGGGTGAGTCCAGACTCTAATTAGGAATCCATTTACCAAATTTCAAATGACAGCAGTGCTATCGAGAGATCATTGAATAATGGATACTTCCCCAAGGCCTTAGCATGAATGAAAACTCCACATAAACACAACTGACATAACAGTTAACTGATGCTCCATAAATCGGTTAGATGCAGATTGGCAGGAGGTTGTTAATGACTTGGAACATGAACACACAGTACGGCTTGCCCAGAAATTCAAAAAGATCATAGTCTTTTTGATCTGCATCCTGTAGATTTTGCTTCATAGAATTTGCTGGAGGAAAGGTTGAGCAAAAAAAGATCGCATTTTGAGCACTATCAACAGAAAAGGAGAATAGTGTAACAGCGATCCCTATCACTGAATGGAAACTTTGAGAAGAAAAATTTTAACGTTGGCCAGAAGTTTTTTTACTCCTAGTATGTTTTTTACTATGATTCAACATAGTTTAGGTGAAGATTTCTGCAGGCCATTTGACTGAAATTTTGTAGATGTTTCTCTTTAAATAGTTTAACTGAGTTCAAGAGCAAGAAGTGTATGTAACCCAAGGAGAACTGGATAGCAGGAGGATGTGTGAAAAGGGGTATTCAACATATCTCAATCTTAAACAAGATCACTAGCTAATTAGATTTTCTGTGTGGCTTTTAACCCTGGCTCTGTGGCTCAGGATCTGCGCCTGTGGCTGGAAGATTGCCGGTTCGTATCCCGCAGCCGGCAGAGGAATCCTACTCCGTTGGGCCCCTGAGCAAGGCCCTTCACCCCAACTGCTCCAGGGGCGCTGTACAATGGCTGACTCTGCACTCTGACCCCAAGCTTCTCTCCCTGTCAGTGTGTCTCATGGAGAGCAAGTTGAGGTATGCAAAAAGACAAATTCCTAATACAAGAAATTGTATATGGCCAATAAAGTGATCTTACGTTATTTTAAAACTGACTAACTGCATAATGCACAAGTGCAAGTTACATCTGTGGGGTCATTATGATATTCTGTCAGTAAAATAATAAAAAAGGATTAATTATTTTACTCTATGAATTCATGTTTTGTATATATTTAATCAGTAAGCCTACATGTGGCTATAGTTTAGATTTAAGAGATGGAAAAAAAGCAGGTACATTTTTTAATGTTCTATAGTAGAGGTCTTCAGTTTTGTTTAAAGACTTCTTTTCTCAAGTTAAACATGAGTGGATTATTGAAGATAATTAAAGGTTCAGTAGGCAGCAGAGCACTGTACTTCTTTAGCGTATTTCTAAATACTCTTTCAGAAATTTTAGTTTACAGCAGCTAGACGGTCTACCAGACTGGATCAGACTGTTATTCTTTTTAACCACAGAGCTCTAGTCTAGCATGTTTAATAGTTAACCTCCAGCTCTGAATTTATCACTGATTTCAATGTGTGCAAAGAGTGATGGTATTCTTTGAAATCCTTTTTGAACACCCAAGAAAAGCATATTATGATTTTGAAGATGTCAGTCAATTATCCCCAAAGATCTTTGTTTCTCGCCTAACGTCCCAATGTCTTCATGAACTTACTCATGAAAACCCTTCAGCTGCTTTTGTTGAGTTTCGACATTGCTCAGCCTCAAACCCCCCTCAAACAGCCCCTAATCCTTGCCAAACCTAAGCCCTAGCTTTAGGGGAGAAGGAGTGGGGAGCGGAGAGGCAACACAAGGATGTCAAACTCACGTCTTCGAAACTATCATCCCATTCCTGTGCTGTGATGACAAACTGGACCTTTTCACTCATGTAGTCTTCGATGACCCTGTGTGCACAGAGAGAAAGAGAGAACTCAGTCCCACGCGCTTGCCCTGACAGCAGCATGTAACCCAGCACTCAGTCCTAATTTATCTAGGGAGGTCTGGCTAACTGTGAAGAACACGTACATTGAAATTCAAATCCAGTTGAGGAAATGGCTGCGGGTTAGTTGCTACTACTGGTACATAGCTACTGTCACCTCCAGCTGTCTATTATTCATCAGCCCCTGTCCTTTGAGTTTTCTCTTCCTATTCTAGATTCTTTGATACAGTAGTAGTGAAATACTTACATTTTAAAAACTGTAGTTTTGAAAATGTAAGTCACCTTGGATGAAGGTGTCCATCTATTAAAATCTAAATTCACATTCTATTAAAGATCTTCTATTAAAGATCACCCCAATTAATACACTGGCTTTTGGTGGTAGGTTGTAGGATCTGCTTTTTCAAACTTAAGCTGACACCAGTTCCTCCTCTCTATGAATTGTACTGAACTTCCCATCTCATTGGAACTACAGCGACTGCTCCTTACTCTCTCGTCAGTGCTATTACCTCCAATATGCAGCTGATATTTTATATGAATCCTTCACTCAGACAGGGCTGTTGTCTTAGAAATGTACAGTCTTCTTATAAATGCCTTGTAGATCTTAAGTGCTCATTCTGGAGGCTTGTATATGCAGAGCTTGACAGAATCATATAATTGATTCTGAAACCCATCCATTACTTGATGCTACTTGTCCTGTAACTTGCAATCTTTGCAATTACTGTGCTTTTGTGTTGGGCAGTGATTATGAAACTGCCCTGTAAAATAAAATCTGATTGATGGATAACAGCTTGGCATACAATTGAGTTTTAAATGCATAGCAATGAGCCCTGGTCAAGTTATTACATTGCCAGAGGTTTAAACAGGATGCATATTCCTGCCATCCTTTAGATTTATTCTCAAGGAGATGTTCCCCTTAATGATCACCAAGGTCCAAGGTGGAAAGGTCCAAAGGTTTAATAGTCAATCTCAGAGAAAACTATCTTCTATAAGTTGCAGTTATCTGCAGCTTTCTGCAAGTAGTTCGGTGTTAGGTGCTCTACAATAACGTCATATTGCAACCACCAACCCACTCTGCCAGTGTAATGCATCACAAAGTTAAGTTAAACAACGAGGTATACAGGAGTAACTGAAGAACGATATCTCTGGTAGGTTCTGGATGAGTTGACTGAATGTTGCTTGGACTCACCCATTGAAGGCTGTGATGTAACGGTATAACAGACGCCTCTCCTTTTTGGGAAACTCCCCATAGAGGAAGAAGTGTTTCCCCTTTAGGAATTCTGCAAACAAAGAAAAAAGAAATGTTAAGGAAATATTTCAAAGATTTCAAATTGCACAGGCACTTCAGATAAACTTGATAATGATAAACGTATTTAACTAGATGTCAAAAGCAATCTCGGTCTTATCTTCGTCTTGCAAATTCCTAAGGGTAGGGATAAGCTACGCAGAAGCCAACATTGACTCTTGCAACTTCCCAGGTACCTCCACAGGATTGCAGTGTTGTCAGTCAGAGTCCTTTAACTCTCTTGATAGGTGATGCTAAGTCTCGTCAGGTGGTGTGGAGCCTACAATATGTCAAAACTTGAACTGCTCTGTAAGGGGATGTTGTGTTCTGAGTGGGCACAGGATTCACAAAGCCAAATTTTGGCTGGCCTATGACAAGACAGTCAGTGCCTTAATGGACCACAGTATTCTCAGCTATCAGAGCAACAGGGACTCCTGTGACCTGCAAGGTTGCAGTAGCATCAGTGAGAAGTGCCACGCTTCCAATTACTGCCTATTACCCAAAGGGTCAATGATGAATGCCTCTGTCAGAAACGTGATGGAGAAGCGTGTCTGCATGTCCTCATTGCAACATCAAAACATAGTGTTAAAAAAATCAATGGTACTATATAGGGTGGATAGAAATTAAGAAAATGTGTGATTGAAAAATTAATATATTCATTTTAAACTTTTTCGGGCAAAATAACCTACGCAGAGAGAGCCATCGATTTTGCAAGACTGTTGGAGTTCTATTCATTTTACCAATTACCAAAATATATCAACAAATCTCTGTATGCTGGTCAGGGGTCTGGGTTTTGAAAAACAAACCAGCAATATGTCCCCTCCCCCAGAACATCTGCACCTTTTTGTGCAATTCCAGACACTGCTGCTTTGTTCCCTGATCCTTCATCAGTATTCTCAGCTCTGGCTCTGTCCCAGGGTTGGACTATGTGTCTTCAATGGCCACCTGCTATGAGAGTCACCCATATGTATGCAGACATGCGAGTTAAAGGCAGGGGAGGAGGGAGCTGGGTACACAATCTGCAGACTGTAGAAGATGAGTTAGGAAAAAAAGATTTCTTCCCAGATGTGTGGGGAATCTGTCAATCCTCTTTTTCAACAACCAAAGTGACTTTTTTAAAATCCTCTGGCATCATTCAGTGTCATAATAAAAGGACTACACAAATTTGCTATGAATTCCCTTTCGCCGTGATTTGATCATCCGAGCTTTGAGGAACCAGACTATGAAAACAACATTATTAATTTATTTCAAATTCACATTCAGATTTGCCACTGTTACTTTTTTAATTTATCAAAATGGGCCGTGAAGCACGAAACAGGTTTTAGCTTCTTCTTTCTTGTAATTGAGAGTTCTTAATTAAATGCCGATCTGAGAGAAGAACATGGCTCTTTGACGTGACACGCCTGCACCCCTTTTGAACTGCAGGGGATGTGATTAGAGGAAAAATTAAATGCCACCAGTAAAAAAAAAAGCTGGAAAGGAGTCCTGGATATCCTTCTGTTGCATACATTAAAATGGCTTTTTTGTCAGGACTCCATGATGATCACTTCACATTTACAGTTTTTTTCTGTGAGTGCAAAGCAGGGCTGTTCAGCTTGCAGGAATTCCAATCCACTCTATTGCAATCTATATACTGTAGGACCTGATTGCAGAAACAATACTGCAGTGGAGAGGAGTGAAAAGTTCACAAGTAGAACAGTACTGGGTTAGTGGATCTCTGGGAGTGCGACCGAGACATGCTGGGGGCTACAAAGATTAGCAAGCATGGGTCATATTAGTATCAATGTCCTCAGTTTTGGAGCTGGCTTCCCAAGATGCACTAGTGAAGTAGCAGGTAACATGCCCCCTTTTCATTTTACTCTTAATTAACCCTAATTCCCAAAGTTGTCCTTAACAATTGAAGTGACCTTTATAGTTCAATTTATCCAGCTGCAGAAGGTCATTTAAAAAATGAAAGCTAGAAGCATAATTAGCAACAGAACATGCAGAGGCTCCAGAAAGTATTCATACAGTAGGTGGACTTCATTCAAGTTTTAGAGTGATCTCACTAAAAAATTAGATGCACTTGGGCTCAAGGTGTTGTGCCATACCAAATGTGGGGAAAACGTATCAGATCAAAACATTATAATAATAAACTATTTTATATAGCCCTTTACGGGAAAAGGAAAAACATGACATTTCAATGCTTGCTTTTAAATTACATGTTAAAATATTCCAAAGCTTTTGTTCCACTTTACTATTCAAGAGTAAGTTGTGTATATCAGTGACAGAAAATCCCATGTAAATGTACTTCTATTCGATTTTTGCAACATAACAAAATGTAAAAACATCATAAGATAAAATGGCATAATATTCCTCTATGCACAGTCAGAAACCAATCCCTCTTTGTTGTTTAGAGCTTTCAAACCTTTGGAAACAGAGATACAATTTCTTAAGGTAGGAAATATCTTGGAAAGGACCAGGTATATTGGAGATAGATCATAAAAAAAGTTGTCATACAAAGTGGAAGAGGATCAGCCTCCACTGCTCTGTATTCTTTATCCGATATGTGATAATGTTTGGAAGACACCATGAGCTTGCTGTGTGCTGTCTGATTGGCTCGTAGGTACTATAACCGCAATGATTAAAGCAAGAGACCTTTAATGGTCTCTTGCAGGAACAGACAATATTAAAACCTCGAGATTAAACTACAACAAAATGCTATGAACCTGTTTGAACATTTCCAGTGAGGTAATAATTACTTGCACTGTACCTTATGCTACATAAATTAAAAAATTATGAAGATAATACTTACGATGATAAAGAATTATGATATATGCAACTCAATTCATTTTGCTATGCTAGCTTGAAAATAATCAATGATCATTTCTTGCCAGCTCTCATTTTTTGCCATTCATGCAAGGAAGATTCAAATTAAAACATCTAATGCACTCAGTAAGCTTTTTCTTGTTTTTTTTTATTGTTAATATTGTTAAAGTGGATAAATGGTATAAAAGTAATACTATAGTACGAAATCACCCTGGTCACATTAAATAAGGAGAAAGCCTCACCTGGCAGTTCTGGGACAGGCTGGTCTTTCTCTTCTTCGACGTCGGTGTTCTCATCTGTGGATCCAGCGTACAAGTCCTCCTCCTGTCCTCCGGCCGCCTGCGGGCTCACCAGCTTCTTGCCACGATTCTCAGTCTCCACCCTGGGACACACACACACACACGTTACACAAAAAGAACTACAGAGCCCAAGCAGTGTCAAGGTGAACAACCACGACGGAGAACAGAAGACAAAGCCTTAAACAAGAGGAGGTCCTCCAACCATCTACTCTCATTTTGTAGTTTAGTCGCAAAGTCAATCTAAAATATCATCCAGGTCCAGCCTGAAAGGACAGAGAGTCTGGGCCTCAACCACATGGATGGGCAGCCTTTTCTAGGTACCCAGAACTCCTTGTGTACTGATTCCTTAGTAATTTCTCTTTTGACCTCATGCCCCAAATCCTTGTGTAAAAAAGTGGCTCCTATTATCAGGAGTCCTAAATGAATTTGTTTCCTAAAGTATGACCCAGTGTCCTTGTTTAGCTCCTTGTTTGACACTTCATCCTTTCGGGTGAAGTGGGTTTCCTTGAGTTTTGAAAGGCACTTTATAAATAAATAAATGACATGATTCATACATTTTATATTTGCTTTGCAAATGTATGCTTTGCTTTTGTTCCCACTTTATATTTGCTTTTATTTCTCCAAAAATAACTACTTTGTGTTCAAATAATCAACATTCTGTAAGGCAGGCATTCCCAGAAAAGATGAAGACGCAGAGGACAAAAAAACAGAATCTAATCTGGGCTCTAATACAACCAACACTAACAAGAGTGAGGTTTGTGGCTGCTTCAAAAATAAAAGTGAGAGAAGTCACACTTCTTTCAGTCAGGTTCAGGGAGAACTGTTAATTGACTGAAATTACAATCTCAAAGTCAGGTGTGCTGCTCAATAGCTAAAATAAAAGCCACCTCTAGAAATACCTAGTTTTCTCCCATATTTTTTGTGCAGAAAGGTCTCTGCAACTGGAAAAGATGTGCGATGTACTATCAGGCATTGACATTCAATGGCAGTCATTCCTGACCTGAATAGCATTTTGAAACATTCATCAAAATGACTAGCTTGGTTTTAAAAACACTTAAGACAGCTCAGCATGACAAGGTGAAATTACACCCATTCTGTCCAACAAGATGGATTCTCCACAGTCAGTCATCTCCAATTATAGCACGCTAACTTGAGTTTCTTGAAGATCTGCCAGCTTATATGAAAACTGGTAAAGCAAGTGGATGTGCTGTATAACTGCAAAGTTGGGAAATTTCGTCACTCTACTTTGACTTAATTCTGGCTTACTTTTACAATTGTTTGGAAATGCAAATTCCTGTAGTACCATGCAGAAAAATTAACTGTAGACTCCATCATGACTACTCTGTGAAACAGGTTCAACTCCAGTGTTTGGGTTCTGATACAGAGTTTGGTACAACTGCTGGCCAAATTTCATCCCACCTTTATCTGATTTCCTGTATTAATGTGTAAACGTTTGAAAATGGATCAAATATGAAGCGATTCAAAATCCTGCCTGAATATGAAGACCCAAGACCAGTATCAGACACAACTTACTTTACAAAGATGGTTAGTCAAGCAGGGATCCACTGACCTTTTTAGCTCATCCTCTGTGTCCATTCCTGAATCCTCATTGTCTCTGGAATTGTCTGTGGAGAGATCAGAACACGGAGATGGAGGGGTGATTTACGGAAGCAGATATTACAAAGAAAAAAACTGCCTCACTGCTACACGTAGACGAGGAATGGGGTTGTATTTATTTGTAAGTTGTGTTATTAACATTGTAATATTATATGTAGTGTTTGGTAGAGTATTTCAGTGTCTGAAACCAGGTGAGATCAGGCTACAGGCTGTGGTAGTAACAGAATCATGTGGTTAAAGAACCTTCTTCTGAACGGATTAAGACACTAAGCAAAGCAAAGTACTCTATTCCTCTCCATGGGGCATAGGCTTTATTACCTGGAGACTTACATTTATTCTGCAATTCTGCCCAACTCCAAAGAAATCCTAATCTCATCAGCAATAGCTGTCAGAACTATAGGATACTATAGTTGTGACATTGTTTCTTCAAGCAACAACAGCTGAACGTTTCTCATTGATATATTTAAATATTTGTATATTTGAAGATAAATCCATTGCAACCTAATGGGGCTGTTTAATAACATTTTGTAGCAAAAAGTATGTCACAGCCAATGAAGACAATCTGGTGTCGAGGGTTACTTGCAGATGCATGAGTTTTATTGGCAAAATGACAATCACAAAACTCTTCCTCTTGGCAGAGTTCCTTATCTTGTCTCTGTGTGGCTTCTGTGCTGCTGTGCTGATTGAATCTAGATTCGCCAACAAGACCTCAGACAAACAACCTGCATGACAGACATAAAAGCGGTTTGTCCTGTTTTCAATTTAAATGTTAATGCCATAGTGCACGTGTAAAATATCATTATATGCCTAGAAAAGCATGCAGCTAGGAAAGGAGTGCTTTTGATAAACCTGCGTAAGTGGAAACAGTATAAAAGTATAAAAAGCAAAGCAAACAAAGTGCCTTGCTTTGAAATTACATATTCACCTCAGACAGATCTCAAGTGCCAAAAATAATTAACAACAACATGAGCAGGAAACAATGAGAGTGGGGTAAAGTTGCACCACAATAAAGATAACACTGGGCGAGAGAGAAACAGGGCATTATAAGATTCACTCCAGTTCATTTTGTACTGCAGATCAATTAGCCCTTTTCAATGGCTTAATCAATACAGAGCTTTAAAAAGGGGAAACCCAGGACCCATTTGCAATTAATGGCATCAAAGGGATAGGACAAGTACATTGTTACTAATTATGCAGACAGTGAAAAAGTCACATTAACCTGTAGATTACACAGTCACATCCTGTGGGTGATATGTGCCTATTGTGGAACAGGTAGTGCAGGTAGTGTTGTACAGACTGTACACATGAATCCCCATTTTATGCACAAATATGCTGTATATGTTCTAATGGAAGCCTGTTACTTTAGCAGACAAGATCTTTGCAGGAGGGATGTGGCAGACCACTCCTATTGTTAATCACAAGCCTTTCTAATTAATAATAGGCCATACATCTAGTCAAACAGCCACTTAATTCTCTCTTATCTTTTCTATACAAAAAACTTCACAGTGCTTTCCCAACCTTAATCAATGCCTGAGGGCACTCTGAAAACCAAGAGGCAAGATCTCTGTGGTGTCCCAGAAGGCCTGATGGTGAAATGTATTATTCCTAACTCTATCTCTTAACTTGTGGCATATAACTACATAATTTCTTTGTAGCCTGAAAAGTTGTCTCCTATAAAACAAATACGGAACCTAGAGGGGACCACTACAGAAAGAAGACTCCAAACTGTCCATTCATTGTCCAAAATATCCTTCGTGCAGTTTTATTTACACAAGTGCAGTTAACACGACTAACCACAACCTTATGCACATTAATGCACTTAAAGAGGAAATGCGATGCTATCTTTATATTTTCGGGTTAGAAAGAATTTGATGAGTGCATTTCAAACTACAGCACAAAGAAAGTAAAATGTACACAGAGATGTGTAAAACCTCCAATTTACATCATACAACAGATGCCATATCGCTATCAATGTCTGTGATTCAGAACAAGGCAACAACAAAACGTCCAGGGAGGTAGAACGGCCCTATTACATTGTAAACAAGCAGGCTTGTGAATACATCTCTTTTAATCCAACAGAAAGTCGGACAGAAACAGAAATACTGCTTACTTGTTAACTCTGCACATAGACCACGTGGGAACATTTCTCTGCTGAAATGTTTGCTGTACAACCTGTACTCATCCGCTCGTACATCTCATTACATTAGTCACTACGGTGACTGGTGAGCAGGAAAGGCGCTTCACGTCACAATGCTCACCAACACTCGCTCTTGCACATGGGGAGACCAGCGGTTTGCAACAACATGGTGGCCATACGGTAGTTTCATAAAAGTTCATGATTTTGTGCTTAATTCGGTATTGGTAAAATTTTGCAAAACCGTCTATTGATTGCGTTACCAAGATTTAATAACCGGTCAGAAAAACTGGGACTGTAGTTCCTCTTTAAAGCTAGTCATCGTTAGCCTTTTTTCCTTCCACAGAGCGGAGTTAGTCCGCCCTCTTGCGACTGAACCCAGTATCAGCAGCCTGACAATTCTGCAGCTCTTTCACACTATTCAATTGCTGTGGTTTTAAAATAAAACAAACAAATGTTTTTCTTCTGAGCAGTGATACCAGTCTGTCCACTTATTAAAAAGCAAGGATTATCTCAATTCATAGCAGAGCATAACCATTTGGCCCAATGAGCTCATCTAGTGTTAGAGCAGCTAACTGGGCCAGCCACAGTTTTGAAAGCAGGTAGGTAATCACCTTCAACAACATGGCTGGGAAGCTTATTCCGTACAACACAACCCTTTATAGAAATACAGTATGTGCCTCATTTTCCCAGTTTTAAATAAACATGATCATAGTTACCACTTGTAACCCTGGTTCATGTTTTACTGTTTTTTCTAAACAGTTCGATAGAACTGACTGTCAATGCCTTTAAGCAAACTGAATACTGGAATTAAGTGCCCTTAAAGCCTACTATGTTAAAGACTAAAGGGGGGGACTAAAGTCTGATATGGGGGCCAATTTCATTTAAAGGACACCAAAAGATCTTTTTCTAGTCTATGTCTATAAAAATGGTTGCCTTTACAATAAAAACTGCATGAACATTACACCCATCAATGCCCTAATTCAATATTTAAAATCTTGCAAATGTAGCTTGAGGCTAAGAAGAATCTTCATCACCTTTTACAATCGCTTATGCGATCCATAGATGATCTGGAAGCCAAGGCCAGAAGCCTCTGTTTCAAAAGGAAAGTAATGATTTAAGAGCATCACTGCTTCAATACTTCAATACACTGCTGGTAGAAGTGCAATCTGAAGAAGATGCCAAGTGAGAGAGACTGTCCTGATGTGATCTTCCTTCATCTTTCTCTCTCTCCGGGGTTATGACTGAGGCTCTGCCATTTCTCCTCGTCAATTCCCTGAAGAGCTACTTAATGCATGAACACAGCCGGCAGCTTCAGATAGCTTTGTCCATTTGATGCAGGATTAAGCAAGATAAGCCCCACACTCTCGCGCTCAGGTAGAAGGCACAGGATGTTTTTGTATGCTGGAGACATCAAGAGGCTTTAATCTCCCCTCTCTAGCCAGCGCTTGATTTTTTCAGCTGAACCTCAGAGGCTGCAAAACACTTGGCAATTCTGCCCTCCTTTCCTAGATGAAACACTTTAGATCTTAGATGAGAAAAAGTCATCAAGATTTTTAATTGCTGATTGCATTTCTTCAGCAGGTAGCTGGGTGGCACAGCAGGGCCTTCTGCAAGCTTTGCCAATGCCAAGTTTATGAAAGCGTGCCCAAATTCAAAGCTCAATGGAATGAATACGACTCCCAGTGCAAAACACCTGGTTCCAGTTCTGGACAGAGGAACTGCGCACATTCTGCTGATTCTCTCTATGCATTCTGTACTCTTTATGTACTGCAAGCACTGATAGAGCTGGACATGCTTCATCATTTAGTTGCTGGGTATGCAAACATTCATAATGTAAATACAGTAAGTCAGGGAATCCCATAATATCTAGCAAGTGGCATTGACTTTGCACACCAGAGTCTGGAGCTGAAGATAAACTTGAGCTGGATCAAACTGCTATATACTGTAACAGGAGCCAGATCAGATTCCTGGGCATAAGAGATGTCACAATACACATCGCGGAAGACGGTGTACTGCATGAGGTTAATCATGAGTTAACTAATGTTAAAGGCCTTAATACCTGTTGGGAATTACGCAGACTGGAGACCACCAGTCTCATCACAAAACCATTTGGATGCAAATCTCTTTCTTGGTTGGATGAGTTGAGTAACCATTGCACTCCCCCATCTATGCCAGAAGGAAGCAGCAGCCAAATTAGTCTAACAAGTTCACGCTATATCAGATTCATCATTAGCCCGACTAGTGTGAAGAAGCCACCTCAGCAGTGAGGTATTGGGGTTAGGGTAGACGCATGACAGGACACTGCAGCTGTGGCTGAACCCAGATTTTGAAGACTTTTCTCAACTAATCGGATGGCAGCCAGAGGACACCCCATATGTTTGAAGAATCAGCTGCTGCTTGGCTTCATGACTTCCACTAGTGGAAAAAAAATACTATGATAGTTCCCAAAGTTTATATGATTTACAATATAGTGACAGTACAGCAATTTCTTCTTAGCAGTTCAGCATACATGCCCAGCAAAGGTAACAGCTTGTTCTCTGACAATCTGTACTGAAGTCCCCGTGGCAAACTACCCACAGCACAGGCTGATAAAGAACTCTGAATGTATTCTTTATTTCTACAAAATATTTTTATAATCCCAGCCTGTCAACAAGCTTTTGGGTGCTTCCAACACATTGTGTATTTGCATATTCCCATTGATCATTCTGTGAAGGTCCTTCACATTTGCATTATTTTAATCCTTTTTGACAGCACTGCGTGGATGTCTTCGAATTTCCACATTGTAAAATGAAATTATGTCCTGTCCTGATAATAATTAGACAGCGAATGAGTTAGAACAGTTTTTGTACTGACCTAAATGCTGATCTGCACAAACTAAATGTGATGAGCGGTGAAAGACATAATGGGATGGAAAAGTCCTGAATAAAGATAACAGTAGAATATTATTTTCTTCTGCACGTTGGCAGAGACAATCAGTCTACAGACGGTAGCTGGGATGACAGGACTTGGCACCCTTTCCCATTACATACATTAATCATTAATCTTCACAAACATTTCAGATGTGGTCTTTGTCACTATTAAGAAAGACATCATAGTACAATCAAGGTCACATATATTCAGCTGTATCTATTAAAGATACAGAACTTTATTGCACTTTGAAATAAAAATGTAACATTCTTCCTTTGAACATTTAAAAAAAATAATCACATATTCAATTGCTACTTATTGATCTTTTAGTTTAGACTCAATTTATATCAGCAAAGAAAATACTACACGTAATCTTCATTTTCAAATGGAAGCCTAAGTCTCCAGCAATAAATATGAACATATGATGTTAACTTTGAGGACACCCATCATTTGATTATTAAAAGCTAAATAATCCAAGATCCCCACTGTGCTATTTCTTAAAAGATCCCACATCAACAGCATGGAAAGAAAGTGTGTTCATCCCACTGAACTGTTTTTGTAGGGCCCAGCCTGGCACTCCAAATGGAACCAATACCACTTTTGCTAAAGATCTCTTTCTTCTTTTCATGTACAGCTCTCTATTAGTCTATTAGTCTCTATTAAGTCTCACAAATAAAAGACAATTAATCTTGACATCCTGGATTGTAGCACCCATGTTTCTGTGTATTTGTGACCTCTTAGTGACAACTATAAAAATCCTCAACAATTTATCAGGTAGACACGACTGAATGAAAAGGCTAGATTAGTGGGAAAAACTCTGAGCACAATAACTAAATTTACTGGTATGAAAGAAATCTCAAAAGATTATATTTAATGCATTCATCCCTCACATGTGGCTTTTCAGCCATGTTTTCTATAAAATGCCATTCACTTCTTTTGTGAATGGCATTCAGTGCGAGAGAAAAAAAATAGAATTCCTGTGAAATCCTGATATAGGATCTCAAACAGCTTTACAATAATATCACAATAGCAAATCACAGACTAGGCCGCAGGGATTACAGTCTAGTGTCAATAAGTGTAAAATACCATTTTCTTTATTGTACAGAAACATAAAAGGATAACACTTTGCAAAAAGTTAGGAAACTATATTTTAAGATGTAATTATACCACTGTAAATCAAGTGTTGTATAATACAACTATTACATCATTGCAGATTTTCTGTAGGTTCTGTGACAAGGTGCGAATGTTTTATTAACTTGTTGTCTTTGTGTTGTAAAATAGTATTCTCAGTCCTGTCATTTTTATTAAAAAATTAATTTTGAGCAAAATTTGAACATTTCTAATGTGAGAAGCTACGGAAATATTAAAATCACAACAGAAAATTTCAGAATTAAGATCACTGTAAAACAATGCAGAACAAAATCTTTATATAGGAAAACTGGCTCTATAAAAACATTCAGATTTCTTGTGTTCTAGAAGGAAATTCAACCACACAATCAAGATGTGTCAAACACACTGCTGTTTATTTATTTTCAGTGTTGCAGAGTAAGGCAGAACTAACTAATTTCTGTGGAACCCTGTCATGCATAGGGACCTCACACAGCTTAATGGTAATGAGCTAATGCCAAGGTCAGATAGAACAGGTCTCAGGAATTAAAGCCTAACAAACAGGAAAGCTGTGTGTTACAGCACATTCAGATTCCTAAAAATGCAAATGTGTGTACAATCAGTCCAGACGTAAGAGTCTGTGTGCTGTAGAGGGAAGAACTGCAGAATAATGATAAGACAACTGTTAAGCATGTGCTCCTGTGACAGAAATGAGTTGGTGAAATACTGCAGTAAAATTCTGCTGCACTTTTGTGAATCTAGTTCAGTGGCATGAACTGTAGGTAACAAGCCCTGTACCTTAAACGCTGGCTTAAAGATCTCCCAGCCTCAGGATGACTCCCTGAATGAGCAGAATGGGCTATGACATACCAGGTCTGTCTTCATCTGTGGAACCACCATACTTGTCCTCCTCGTCTGGGACATCCCGAGAAGGTCCTGGCCTGTCTGAGCCACTTCTGGACTCTTTCTGGGGGGTTGCCTTCTTGTGGTTCCTACTGGGGGAATGTCCACTCTGGAAAAGATTTCAATGAACTCGGCAACCCAAAAGACATGTAGGGTCTTATCTCTTTCGTTGCTCAAAAACATTGATCTTTCTTAACATGTCATCATAGCCACTAGTGTCCATTTTCTGTTCTCTAATTAAAGGATACAGTGCAATCATGTAATACTTTATAATCCATGGCTTTTTAGAGACAGGAAGCTCCTCACCCCCTCCCGTATTGAACTGCAGCTCTCTCTTGAAATGGAAGCTTACGTAAAATCGGAACATTAGGAGTAGATGGAGGGTTCTGGGCCACTTAAACCACGGAGCTTTACAAAAGGTTACAAACAGGAAGAGGCCATTTCGCCTGTCTATCTATTTAGTTGCTATTAGCTAATTGATTCGAGGATCTCATCCAGCTCCTCCTTGAAAGAAGCCAGGACATCAGCTTCAACAACAAGGCTCGTTATTTTGCTCCAGATTCCCACAAGGTGAAGTACCTATGTGAAAAAGTACCAATTGTTCTGAGACTTTTAGGTAGGAGTCCATTAGAAAGCCTGAACAAGAATACAGCCAAGCAGTCCTCCTCTTCTGAACAGTGCTCAGCAATCTTTGGTTTAACTTCTCATGTGACAGACTCTACCTGCACTACAGCCACATCAGTATGATTTTAGTCTCTGCTGGGGTGCCAGATGAAGCTCAGTCTACACATCTACGATATGGCAGTATATAAATTTGTGTATTGGTGCCTCCGAAATTCTTCCTAAGATCTTTAAAACTGAGGTAACTAATAAGAACCACATGAACCAGTGACCAGTTAAGAATTTAGAGGTCAAATTTCAGAAGCTAAACAGAAATACAAAGGATATTTCACACATGGAAGAGGTCACTAGTCTTCCAGATTTAATTAGCCAAAGCTCTGCAAAATGTAACTGGATATATGTTTCATAAGTAACTGCACAACCAGTTTTAAATGAGGGTATCTGAAAATCTACCCGGCCATACTCACAGAGCCTTCGAGAAGTGACGGGCTGAGATCAGCAAAAAGCAACATGAAGCTGTTAATTTATTCTTCGGTAATATTGTTTAGTTCTTTGCTTACTAGTTACTGGTTCTTTTTCCTGGCTATTTAAATCTTACGAACTCTGCAGGGCTCTGTTACTCCCATTTCAGGGTTGCACACCCCTAACACTGTCTGCTGGGCACATTATGGGGTAAAAACTGTCACCCTCTCTACCCAGCTCCATGTTAAGAGATGTGTGTCCAACTAAACACTTGGACTTGCTAACCTGTTTGCAGGAATCTTCAATATCATCTGTCTTGTTCTCCTCCTCTGACTCTTCCGAGCTGGATTCTGCTCCATCCATAAGGTACCTATAGAAACAGAAAAACACAGTCAATAATACAACATCAGAAAAGCTGCAAATGGAAATTGGCCACTCAGCCTGTCTTGTTGAATGACTTGCAGATTATTATTGATCCAGGATCATCAGGTCACTTCTCAAACCTATGGTTCTGTGACAAAGGGTCTGGCACCTAACAGCTCTCTAAGCATTGAGGTACTGCTTCTTATCAGCTATGAAGAGAAAGTGTGTAGATTATGCTTTTTTGAGAATTTCAAACAGCACCATGGTAGACCTGCAGAACAGAAGAGTAATCTGCTTTATAATTCAAGGAAGGGGCTGACGCTTAATAAAAAAAAGGCTTTGTCTAATGAGCTACTATAAGTAGATAAGCAAGAGACATTGGTTTAACATGTAGCGTCACCTGTGCTCTGTCTTGCAATGTCTTAGTGAGGGTCAATCTGGCATATGAGAACCAACCCCTCATTTACTGACAGTGCAAACCAGAGCTGAGGCCATCCTGGGTGTTTTGTGGACACCTTTCAATATCAACTTGCTTGAGCATTACTGTAGGTATTAGCATTGTAAGTATTAGGATTCAAAAGCTCTCTGCATTGGCTCTACTGGTTTATACTTTATGCCTTACAAAACATTATAATAAGATGAAAGCATCTTGCAGATTAACAGGGTAATTAATATAGGAAAACAAAATATGGAAGAAACGGTGTACTATAAAGACATAATCAACTGGATGGCCACTGGACACCCAGAGAAACTGCTATCCCACATTTAAACAATCAAACAGAATAAAAGACTTGACTTTCCACTGACAACATTTTCAACTGTTGTTGTGAATGTTTAGGAGAGATAAGAACCAAATGACCTTCACCCAAGGAAAACCCATTGACAGTAAACATGTATAAAGATCAGCACTTCTGCTGATGGGGTTTAGGGGCTCCACACCAGTGAACAGGAACGAGTTATCGGCATTGCCATATTGTTCCATGAGGGAAATACAGTAATTCAGTGATCTTGAGGATGGACTTAATTCCAGATAAGGACCTGCGTGACTAAATTTTAATTGTGACCTTGTGGTTTTAAAGCAAAATGGCTAAAAGAGCAATTAAGTCAGTTATCATCCCAGTGAAAGGGTTCAGACTCAACAGTACTTCAGCTTGTCCATTATGCCTTCAGCAAATTAAAAGATACATTCATTGACACTCCCCAGATGTGAAGGAATAGTCAGCTATAACCTGTTTAGCAATAGCTGGGTGTACTTTCCAAACGTTTTCTTCATATTAAGTGTCTCTTTGTCCATAATAATGGCAGAAAAGTGTACAGGACAGGGAGCAAGGGCAGCAATTGCGAATTATAATAAAATTGTGTGTGGGCTTTTCATCAAAGACCAGGTGAGCAATGAAGCCTGTCCGAAGCTCTGATCTTACCTGCCACATGGGCCTGACTCGCCCATAGGCTACCTCAGCTTTCTTAGTCAATGATGTCTCTTCTGTCAGGCACTTTAGAGCATCAGATTACCAGCACAGTTCCTGGGCATCTCAGAAAACTCAAGGGAAACGATTTCCACTGAGTGCTTTAATAAAGTCTACATCTGGGACAAAGAATCTGCAGAACCGGAAACCAGGGGTAAAATATTTTAAAAGGACCCTATCTCTACTGTCTCTTTAAATCATTGCTGTCTGACTTTTGCCACAGTTGGTGACAGGTGTCTCACACAAACTTTGAAAAAGTGGGAAGGCCCACTGATAACAGGTTCTGTGTAGCCAGCAGGGAACACACTGGAACGGATTAAGCTCCTAAGCTACTAGCGCAGGTGGAATTCTCAATGTAGAATTTAAAAACCACTCCATCTGCTTTATCCAGTAATTCAAGTGCCAAGCAAGAGAGCTTTACATATATTTCAATAACGAAGGCCCAAAATCGGTGTTACACACACTTCATACATTTGTTCTCAGGATTTACTTCACGGAGATAATTGAACAGGAAGTGAAAATGTCACCAGACTAAAACTGAAACTGTAGCAAATTAAAAAAGTCATGGAAAAGATCAATGCCCTCAGAATCATTTTTTAAAACTGTAGAATGAGCTTTCTGCCTATGATTATACTCCCCATTTGCAGTTGGTAAAAGTGATCAATGTGGCACAGTCCAATTCCCTCACGCACCAACATGAGGAGTAGGGGATTTCTCTCACGGTGCCTCATGGGAGACATGTTTTTTGGAATGCTGCAGCAAAATCACAGGTGTCCAGTCAAGTCGCAGGGGCTGCTCGTGCTTGAGATAGCCTGGCTAACTCAAGCCCAATCCACTGCAGGAGAGACGGTCAATACTCCTTCAGAAACCCTGGGCCTCGATTGTATTACAGGGATCCTACCAAGGCCAAAGGCTCTTATGCAAATGATTTTGGCAAACACCAAGTGTCTCTCCAATGCTACATTTCTTCTATAAGTTAAAAAAAATACAATTATACTTCGAATTACATAGGTAATGTGGACCACCGTTTTTAAAATGTGCCTCGATCTGTAAGAGTGAACAAAAAAGTGCAGCAAATCTATAATTATGAAGTTGTCCATAAAAGAATCACTGCTGATTGTTTGGGTTGCATCGCAAGTTCCCCCCGTGTTGTTTTAAATTTATGAATAAGGATATTTTGTTTACCTTCTGTTGCAGATGCAAGGAACATTAACCAATAACATTTTGGTGTTTCACTGTTTCTTAATTTACTTGCCTAATGATGAGATTAGGACATTACCTATTTATACATTACCATTTGGCCATCTTAAGTCCCATCTCTTTTTTATTTTATAACAAATAAACAGTAGAGTTTATTTTTATTTCTAAAATACACACTACTGTGGACGGATTAAAAAAAAAAGAAGCAAAAATTTGTTTATAGATGTTTGGCCTTGAAAAACATCCATAATGCAACTAAGATTCTGAGAGCTGATGCATTAGTGTCGTCAGAAGAGACCACTGGACCAGTAGAGCTCCAAGTGTTTTTACACTTCAGAACGGTTCCAGGTATCATTATAGGAAGGTTCAACTGGCTCTGTCTACAGAAATGGACACCAAACACCAGGCAGAGACCAGGCAAATAAAACAAAAAAACTAATATGAGTAAGATGCCTCTTGGCAATGAAGTAATAAGTAATGAGGTTGCCTTCAGTGACATTGACCAGGAATTCAAGGCAGCACTAAATGAAAGGATGGAAAAAAACGTTTAAAATGACGACAGGAACAAAAAAATCCAGCGTGGCTTCCAGATCTTTCTAATATAGTATTCCTGGACTGTTATTTTAGTGTTGTTCCCCCCAACACTGCAGAATACTATAGTAACTGAGCATTTTCTTTTATTTTTAAGAGTATCTAAAACAACTTAAGTGCATGATACCATACTCCTATGACTAAGGGCATTATGGTTTGTGCATAAGAGGCTTTAAATGAGGAGAAAACAGGGCAGGTATGTTTCTGAAGAGGAATGTCTTATCCCTGAATAGAGCTCTTCAGGGACAAGTAGAACACTATGCTTTTAGGGATAAAGAACCCCCCAAAAAATCAAGGACATAAACCTCTTCATAAACAGCAGGGGACTCAATCAGGCCCTCAGAGCTTAAAACAGAAAAAAAAATGAGAAAAAAAATCAGAAGAAAAACAATACAGAAAAAGCTTTCAGTCTCAAAGGAGTGTATTGATCTTGGCCACAATAATCGGAATGGCTTTTCTTGCTCATGCTTCTTTCACTATACAGATGTTTCCCATAGAATAACTGCAAAAACATGCAATGTGTAGCAGCCAAAGTGACTGAAAGTCTCATAAGACAGTTGCCAAGAATTCCTTAGGCGATACACAGTAAATTCACTCAGTGAAGCACAGATAACTCACCCAATTGGAAAGCCTTCAATCTAGCATGTACACTCAGTCAGGCTCCCTGCCAAGTTCCCATCAGTATGTTAACTGTGGTGCTATGATTACTTTGGATACCTCATAACTTCTCAGGCTTTCACTCTTTTTCACGGATAAGTGTCAAACCACTTCTGTTATCTCATTTTTTAGTCTAAAGTTTGGTCAGCAATTCCAGCCATTAAAACCCATGAAAACAACATTTGTCTCAGAGTGCCATACTGCACTCAAAAGTACTGCACAGAAAAAGCCGGCTTTAAAATGTTTCTTTTCCCAAGCTTTAATTTCAACTTCTTAACGGGAAAAGTAGCTGGATCTTGAATTAACTCCTTCCACATGCAAGAAATGAAGTCAGCACTCATGGATACTTGTTGGCAGTAAAGGAGCAGTTGTAGTTATAACTACATCAAACTATAAATTTTCACATAGTTTATGCTCTGTGCACTGCATGTTAAGCAATATATTATAGCAATATATATATTGCATTAGAGTATTAAAATAAAAGCAAAGAATGGGTTAATTGGAAGAAAACAGACTATTCTGTATTAGGACCACTCTTCCTAACCCTAGATTCCAGAAGAGTGTGAAAGTTGAGTACAAGTTCAAGTTTGCGGCGGACCAAATTGCAAAGGACATTCCAAAAAGATTTAGCTGTAATTAAATATTGCATAAATGTCCATCTAATGACATTTAACACCGACAGCTGCAGATAGGAAAAACTGCAAAAATAAAATGGGAAACACTAAACAGGAAAAAAGACAGGTATTTTTTATCGACAATTAACTAATGACTTCTGGCCCATGTGGGTAAAAAGTAAAAGAAGCAAAACAAGTTGGAATATGTAGTTAAAAGTTTAATACTCAAATTGATTAGTGTCATGTTAAAATTGTACAATGCAGTAGTAAGGCCTCAGTTGAGAATATGGTGGATATTTTTGGTCACCACCCTATTGCCGCTCTAAAATCGGAAAGAAGAAAAACAAGAAAAAAAATCACTAATTGTGATTGGATACTGACAACTAGGTATTAACTGATCAATACAGATGGGTCAAATTGTCTCCTCTGCTTTACAGACTTTCTTATGTTATCTGTCATAGACTACACCTGATGCATAACTAAGCTTTTAAGGCCAAGGATCATACAGTGAAGTGCAGTAACATATTGTAACCAAAGAACAAATGGACTGCTATTTAAGGTATGCACACACTGTCATTCATTGAAAACAAAAATGTTTTTAAACTTCTAATTTGCAAGGCTGCATATCTCCTTTTATTTCCATCCCTGACATTTATGTGCAAGGAGGCAGGTTCTTTGTCGATGGCTGAAAGAGCTCCAGCTTCCACTTCAAAGGCAGCCTGTTGTTTTAATTACCCATGCGAAATGGAGGTTTTAAATACAGACTGTGTAATGAGCTCCCTTTACAGCCACGATGAAGGAGCTGGTCTGTGAACAGCGGTGAGTGGAGAGGCGAGGAGGCGTGTCCCCGAGCCCACCCTGCCTCTGTGGGCTTTTCAGAGCGACTCCGCCGACACACAAAAGGAAAGAAAAAAGGCTCTTGAGGAACATGCACGTTCGCTTTACAAAAACAGAGTCCTTGCTTTGAAATCGACATCTAAATAAATAAACCGGGGCCGGTCTGAAATGTCTTTGTGAACGAAATGCTCCTAGCAGCCGTTTTTCAAAGCGCGTGGCTTTGTTTCATTACTGCTAACATTTGGGCTCTGTCGTTGCTTGACCTGGTTCTGAGCCGTTACCGGTGTTGTCGGGGCACTTCAAGTCGCTCCTGGCTGTGGCAACACTAGGTGTTCAGTCGTGAACGTGAAAGTTTTAGACATGGGCTCAATCCTAAGTTTGAAACATTAAAAGAACGTCTCTTCATGCATCCACCTCCGCTGTTGAACTGATTCATTTCCAAGTATGCCTTCTCTATAATGGAATTTGTACCAATTCTATCATTCAAAGCTGCACAACACATCTAAACTTATTTACATGTTAAGAAACTGCAAAAGATCTTAATTTTAGTATCCTCTCTGCTTGAGCAAAAACGCTGCTGAAAAAAACGGTCTAAAGGGGTACATTCAGTTAGTAACTTTAGCACCACTGCCTGGGGAACCCCAGTCAAGGTCAGCTAGTGACATAACCCAAGATAAAACCCACAATGTCTGGATCACAGTTAAACCTGAGCCATTTAAAAAAAACAAATCTATTGCACCCTATAATGTATTGATTGAAAAATAAAATAACGAATTACATTTTGCAATCCAAGACATGCCGAATTTAGTTTCAGATTTATAACCGAGTCAGTGGAATGGCAATAAATGCATTACTTTGCACCTTATATGACTTAATCATCAGTTCTACTTCTAACAGTCCACACCAAGGACAGTGTCTCAGACCACTAAGAGGATGTAAAAAAGCAAGCCCACGTGAAGCTACAAAATGATGTAATCCCGAATCCTCCCTTTGATGTTAACATTTTCATAAAGTGTGATCAGAGAGCTTCATATTTTTCGCAGCTCTACAGATCGAAGATGAAACAAATGCATGTATTAACCTTTAAGCACCTACATCAGTGTGGCAGCACTCCCTTATTTCTAGTGCAAATGATCCTCATGTGCAATGCTGGCTGAGTTATCATGCTTATATAATACGTGAGGATTATCAAAAGCACTGGAGTAAAGTTTTATTGTTATTATAAAAACATATTGAACAAATATTTCTTTAACACCAGAGTCAAACCACAATATTCTGACCATCTGGGAAAAATTCAGTTACGACACAAAAAACAATATCTCTAAAAGGTGATGCTCATATATGCTTAAGGATCTGAACTACTGTATGCGACTGCATCCTTACTGCTGAGCTCCCAGATCAGCGCACAGTGCAGATGAGAGTGTCCCAAAGTCGATAAACTAGTGATCACTGTCACGGCATCGGAATACCTGTGACAAGGCTGGCAAATATTTCTATTTGATAAGAACATACATCTGGAGTCTGGAATATATCAGCAGGCAGAAAGAAGTGTGGTTTTGACATAAACAGAGATGACTAGAATGAAATGACTGACAACCTATTGTTTGGCTTCCAAAAAGCCCCATGCACATGGCACTCTTAAGTCCTGTACAATAACAATAGGGATGACTCCTATTCTGACTTGAACTTTTTAGCTCCAGAATATTTCTTTGCTGTATTCCCTTGCATGACCTCTCTGTTTTTTTCAGAATCCAGTGCTAACCTTCCCTTCCTGCCACTCAGGCCCTGGAGTGTGAAATGAAAGCCGCCAGCTCTTAGATTAGCTAATAAGAGAGCAGGAGCTCACAGGCCCTTCAAGAATTTTAATGCTGCCTTTTTTCCTGTTGATCAAAGACTTGACTCTCACCTCCATTTCTCATTACTTTCTCTGATGTCTTTGCCTCAGACACCGGTGCCAGTGCATTGAACATACAGTACAGCTCCATTCCAGTCCCGTCCCTGTGTCAGTTGTGCCATGAGGCGGAAGCAAGCATTTGCTGTCGGGTGGCATTTCTCACCGTTTGTACGAAATCCTCTGCTTCCTCTTATGGCAGTCCAGGATCCACTCCTTGCGCACAATAGCGCCCCCTAGCGCTTTCACCTGGCCGTATTTCGGGGTGTTGGCAAAGGCACAACTGGGAAAACACAAGGAGATCAAAGATATAGTGTGGGATAAAAATTCCACTTCTTATGGAACAATCCAATTGTGGAACAGTACACAGTACTGATACACTACTGGATACTGGATGAACATCCACCACTGCTCAGCACGCTGTTTATTTGCACACCTGATGCTTTACAGCAGGACATATCATATTGTTAAGTCATCTTTTCCTTTTTTCCTTAACTGTTTCTATTTTGCAGATTTCCAATTTCTAACTACCAGCTCTTACGTAATCCACTACTATGACCTTCACTCAGTGTGGGAGGGATAAGGATTTCACATGTGCTCCTATTTAAGCTGTTTGTTATTTTTACACATTGACAGGAGGAGTGATCCATGTCTTGCAAATTCTAAAGCTGAGGATCCTCATGGCCAAGTCAAGCCCAGTCAGACCCAGCAATTATATACTGCTGCTTGGTAACTTTGGCTCCAAGCTGCTTAATCACCCAGACCTGAACCAGGACTGTAAAACTGAGGATGTGAACTAAACAGGAGCCTTTTCTAGCTGAGCAACTTGGGATTTCCACCAGCTTTTCAACTTCAATAAATAAAGAATAGGACTTCAACTCTCCTTCTAGGAAAAATCAATTACTCTACCACTTAAGACACACTTTCTGCCACACATGCTGCTCAAAAATGCTTTCAAGCGAAATTGTTTAATCGTCTGTGCTTTGTGAAATCAGACAGTCTGTAATGGACCCATTTTTTATTTACTTGTTCAGCTAATGATTTTCAACTGATGAAACATGTAATGAATGAGTGGACATGATTTAATTTATCTGGGCAGACAGCTTGTTGGCATGCCTTCTCCTCCAGCCACAGATTTATAGTATAACAGCAGTCAATGCTGCCTCTTTTTCATCAGCATGGTTTTAAAAACACTTCCTTACATTTAAAAATAAGGAGATGCACTTGTGCTGTCAGATTAAAGTGCACTTTAAAGTCTTCCCACCTATGGGAGATTCTTTAGCTTTCACCAAAACACTATTAAGTATTCAAAACGGGTTAATAAGTGCACTCATTTAAATATTTATATATTATCCTATATTTATAATATGAATATTTAAATATAGTCATGATAATCCACTTTTCCAATGCCTACTTTTGTCCCTTGTGTAATGAATAACAACTAGCCTTGCTTCTTCCTATTATTCCCTAATCTGGAATTGCCCATTTATCTTCAATCTCAGGGGCCAAAGAATAGTTTTAGACTGTTAGAAGATCTGACAACACTTAACATTCACATGCTCCAAAGCTCTCCCACTGAAAGATGAACCTTCAGGCCCATTTATGAACTCCAGTGGCCGTAAATGACTTTTAAACCTCCATTTTCATTCAAAACCACCTGGCAGCCTTGACAATGAAGGACCTCTCCACAGGCACGGCCTTGTAAACCTACATGAGGTGTGTACTGTCAGGAGTCCAGTCGGGTCTGTACTTGGCGCCCATCGCCAGGGCCTTGTCCCTCAGCTCAGCCCGGAAGGGGTTCTGGAATCCGCTAAGCACAAAGACTGTGTCCTCCAGCAGGCGGTGGAACTCCAGCCCCTCAGAGTGATCTGCTTTCTTCTCTTTCTTCTGCGCCTTTGACTTGTCGTGTTTGGGAGGCTTTTCGGGCTGGGCTGGAGAAGCTGAGATACAAAGGAGAGGGCACAGAGGGATAAAAAAACTGATAAAAACAAGGAGGAGTACAAATTCAATTGGCTCAAAAACACTCAAATATACCCCAAATATTTTATAAATGTTTCCTAATTTTTGAGAGGGAAATTCACAAAGTACTGTGAGTAAAATCACTTTTCCTATTGCTATGGCTATAGTAGCATTATATAAGGGGAAAAATGTTATTTTTCAATCTAGGGAGGCAATCTCAATTATTCTAGAGCACCATTAATTATTTGATGTTGTACATATCTAAAACAAATATCATGATTTTTGTTTGGAGAAGTAATGACGTCATAAATTTAGGAAACAAACTGATTAGATTCTAAATGGTTTACAATCCGGAATTATTCTCTT